GACCGTGGGGGTGGGGGGCGGGTGTATAGGGACCTTCGGGAGCCGCTGAGGCCTGAATTGAAAGCGACGTGATCTGCGTTGGGCGGGCGTCTGTGAGGAGAAGGGGATTTGGGAGGCGGTAATTAGAAGAGCTGAAAAACATAGACCCCTCGAAGACAGGTCTCCTAGCGTCCAGAACAACAGCGCCCCATTCAAGTGCCCTTGCCCTTGCGGTCGGGCGCCTACGGCGGCTTTAAGGGGCGACTATGTGCTGCAGGTAGTTGTTCCTACGAGTCTCTTCAGATGTTCTTAGCCTTTTATCAATTAACAGGCAACCAACGAGAATTCGACCCACCAGCAGCTGGCATGGAAATTGACCGCCAAGCTGCGGGAGGCGACAGAGGGGTAGCAGCAGGCAGTGCCGCGATCAGCTCTCTTGCAGTCCTCCACAACGCTGTTGATTAGATGCTGTGAAAGCCGTTTTAAGGCGGCGCTAGGCCTTCTGTTATTGCCAGAAGGCCAATTTGCATCGATTCAAATGCAAGAAATGAGAGACACTAGAGTTACCACGCAGCCCCGGGCTACACAGCAACCGTCTGATCATGCTGCAACAGCGCGCCGCAGCTACTGCAAGCAGCAACGGTGACTTGTCCAGCACTTTCGACGCTCCTTGAAGGCCCATCAGCAAATTGAAAATCATTTCTTATGCGTTTTACCTCTGTGTACTGCGTGGTCTTTTCGACTTACCAGGATATAACGCACCCCGCGCCTTCCTCCTGTTTCCTATGGCTGATCTCAACAACCCACTGGCCCGTCAGCTGCCAATGCTGCAGCGCACTAGGAAGGACTATGCTTGAACACCCTGAATAATTTTGAAGCATTTATCTTATTTTGCGCCTGTTATTTTCAGAGACTCCGGATATTAGGGCTGCTACCCATGATTTACCCCTTTGGTTTGCCGTTCTGTGTCGAACTTCCGAGAGTCACCCTGTTGCAGGCCACACTCTGCAGCGTTTTTTCCGATCAACATGTTGGCTAGCAAGCACATATTTGCAAGTAACAGGTAGTATAAGTCGAGTCATTGTCAAAGTAAATTCGCATTACGTCTGTGCAAAACTGCGGCAACCATGTAAACCCATCGTTTTCTACGGCGAAACCCAGCATGGTCTGGGAAATGTAGCAGGGACTGTCTAAGTTGGTACATGTTTTCCAGCCTGCGAGGAAACGGGCAACTGAGGTCGAACTGCGTATTTAACAATTGTTTACAGTGTTCGTGCATGCTTTAAGGAGCGCTGGGGTATTGCATATGGTGTGTGTGTGCGTGTGTGTCGCTGTGGGGTAACATAGCCCGCCGAAGTTGGCGTGTGAACACTACTTACTGGGGTTTAGGACGGAAGCTGCAAGCAATAACGGAAATATTGAACAATCACCTACAGTATCACTGCTTACATTGAAGGAGGCGTTGCTGTGCTTGTACGTGAGGCTGCGTTGCAGTATGACTTGCCACAAGGTGCCTAGCACCATCCCAGGCTGCCTCCACTTTCGCTGTTACAAGCACACTGCCCGTTCTCTCCGGACACCTGAAGAAGGAGGAGGGATGCCGGGTTCTTGTAAACAAAGCACTACCCCAATTATCCCTACTCTACAGCGCGCGGTAGTCCTCAGGTACTGTCGAAAACTCTGATTACGTGGCCTTTGCAGCAGCAGTTGCGACAGGGTTTGCTGCGAGCCGTAACAGGGAGTCTTTTATGTGCACCAGTCACAGACCCTTTTGGCCCCCGTTAGTAATTCCCGTGAGTGGATTGTGGGTAAGCTCATTTTGGGTCTAGTACCTAAAAAGGGCTCTACGATACACTCGCTCCTTGCAGTGGAATATGTTTCCTCATAGTAGCACCGCATCTATGACCAGCCTTGCAGGCGCGGTAGGCTAAGCCCATATATGCTGCCGTGAGGCCTAGTGGGAACAACTGACTAGTGGTGGAGTGGCATGGCCCAAAAGTGGGGAAACTTTGGTTTTCCCCTACTACTATTAGACTGGAGAATAGTCCACATCTTTGCAAAGCTTTTAGCCTCTCTACAAGTCCAGTAATGTAGCCAAACCAGGATTTGTTCACCATCCGTGGAGACCGGTTAACAAGTTGGCAAGTCATCGCCCTGGGACGAACGCAATATACGTAGAGCATCTATCCAATGCAGTGGGAAAAGTAGCCAAAAAATCTAATGGAGCGTCGAGATAAAAGGATTGAGGTGTAGGTGCGAACAAGCAGCGAAAGATTGCACTTGTGACCAGTGCCAACAGCACGTGGGTCCCCTACACTACAAGGATTGGAAGCATCGCCGCTAGACGAAGGAGCCAGCAGGCCCCATGCGCAGCCCCGATGCGCGGAAGGCAAGGACGGGGAAATACATCCTCTACGTGATGACTGTCTTTCCGAGACATCATTTCTAAGGGACTTATCACAGTAAAGTCCGGAAAATAGGTTGCAGGCAAAGCTGACAGGAGAGTCAAGATTCACTAAATAGCAAGGGGCTGCCTGATGCCAGGAAACCTGCTTGCTGTCCAATTCACAGCATAGAACTAACTAACTAGGAAAACGTTAGTTCGGTTCCGAGGTAATGGCAACCTCCGCAGATTGAAGAAGAAATACAGTCAACGATGCATGCTGCAACTCCTGCGAAGTATGAATGTTTTCGTATCCCTTTCGAGGCATGCAGCAATACTGTAAGCATATGCTACACGCTTACGTCGCCCTCTGTTTCCGGCCTTCAGAAGCTCAACTAGGCTGAGCATCCTGTTTCCCGTTAACAGCAGTCTCACCCGAAGTTCAGTCAACAGCCACGGAGCCCCACTATATATTGCATCCAATCATACGTTTTCCTCTGTCTCGTGTTCCTATGGATTTGGACGACCGTCACACTGCAGAAAACCAAAGGCAACTCAAGAAACTGAACATATGTTGTCATGTGGAGCCAGTGCCAGTTGGCAGCCTCCGATTGCAATCCATGTTAATGTGGTGTTATCATGCTCCTTCACATCTCAGTAAAGTGTTTTTCGAACTAAAAGATTCATTTATCTGGGGAGATGTGACAGCTGCCCTCCCCCCGTGCAGAAAACATGCGTTTGCTGTCCAACAACTGACGGCCGACGATGTTAGCCAATCAAAAGAAGGAGTCTTCTAAATGCATATAATTTCTGTTTAATGCTTTCCACACATTTTTGATTCTTCGTTACGAAGTTCTCTTATAGCATTAAACCGTTTTGGCTGCTGTCCGACCACCGGGCCACCTCTGGGTCGGCATGCAGCACAACTCATCGACGCGTACACTTGGCTGCCGATCGTAACTTGCACTGCTCGTCTTCTTTTCTTCCTTTTGCTCTTTCAAGCACCGCATTATCTTTTGTAGTATCCAAGTAATCGTAGGCCTCGCAGCAGCTGTAGGGCAGCTACCACCCGCCCTGGACAGGTTTCCCTTGCTGCTATGCCAGACAGACACCCTTGAGTTGTTCGGAAACGGCTAGTTGATGTTGACAATTGTTGCAGTATAAACTATGGAGGAATAAAGTGTATATTCGCTCGTTAGCGTGGCTTGTGTTGGACTAAATCGGGGTTGGTATAGGGGCCGTGCGTTGAGTGAGACTGCAGAAGCTCCAACACTGTGCCCCCACTGAGGGCAGCAGGCGACCTGCGTGCCGTTTTCACCCGTGGAATCTCTCAGTGTATCATGAGGGGTCGGCAGGATGTCTACTCCTGCTGCAGCTGGCACGCGGCGGTCTTTGCTGCACGATGTGTTGTCGCATGCAGAGGTGGTGGAGCTGGGCCTGGACGGTTCTGTTGACGATGTTCCACCCCTGACCACTCGCCTAACTCCTTCCAGCGCCCGTGCAGTGCTGCTTTTCGCTTGGTGTTATTTCTTTGCCTTCTGGGGAGCAGCGGCAGTGGTAATCCGTAGCGTCCTGACCCTGCATGCAGACAATCTGCTTCCTGGGTCCGGGGAATTCATTTTTGTGGCTGTTTTCACTGTGCTGCTGGTATCCGCGGAGTTTGGGGTGTATTATCACCTCAAAGCGGTGAACCCTGTCCCCAGCAACAGCGGGCCCATGGGCAGTCAGTTTTCCCCCAGTCCCTTCTGCACGTTGGCGCACTTCACGCTTTCTGCAACCTCCCGTGTCTGCAGCTTTTTGGAGTTGTTATTCCTGTTGCATACGCTGGTGCTGCCGGCTCCTCTGCTGTTCTGTGCGGGCTTTACGGTATCTATCACTGTGGGGGCGTTGCCGTTCGTGCTGCAGCTACGGTGTCTGTTGAGCTGTGCCTTTGGTGATTGCTTTGACCCTTTACAGCCGTCAACATGTCTTCCACTCGCATCTCTTGAGCGCCGTTTGCTCAGATGCGGTCGTCTGTGCCTATCGGGTGTAGCCAAGGGGGCTCGGGGGGCCCTCTGTCACCTCCGCAGAGTCCGAGGGAGGTTAGGGGGCGTCGTGCGGAGGGGGACGACTGTCTCTCCAGTAAGGAGAGTGGAAATAACGTGTTGTGACTTGGGCACAGACAGCACCAGTGGCAGTAGCAGCAGCAATTCACACCAGACGTCCAGCAGCTGCCAGGCCAGCTGGCGGGGTACAGCACCTGCTACGCTGTTGCTACAGGCAGAACGACCCTTAGATGAGCTGGGGGCCCCTCGTGGTGTTTGCAAGGATCCACTGGTGGCGCCAGGACAGAGCGGGCAGAACAGCGCGGAGTATTCGTACAGCTCAGCCGAAGGGGACATGGATTCCGGAGCATGCGATTCGTTCACGGTTTCATCTTGTGAGGCAACTACAACTGCAGGATGGAACTCCGGAGAGCAACACCAACAACCGCCAGCTGCGCATACACCCCGTGCGTTGGAGCCCCTTTCCAGCTCCGGCAGACTCTCTGAGGCTTCCAGCCGTTTCCCTCTCTTGCAGGAAGGCACCGACAGCCAGGGACAAATCAGCAGGCGCCAGGAGTCTCTCAGGAGGCCCGCTGCCCCTCAGTACATCCCCCCAATGGCAGCCTTGGGGCTAGCGAATTGTCTGTTGTTGCTGGACCTTCCGGGCCTCACGCTGCACTTCAAAGCGGTGAGTTAGTAGTGCTCGAATTCCGGCGATGCAACGAGAACGTATGCACGCAGTGCAAAGATAGCAGCGAGTGTGCAGACATCTACCTGGGTATAGAAAGACATGGATCCGTGGCTTACTATTCTGCCCCTCAAGTTTACTGCAACATCCCAGGCTGCATGTATCTTGTTGTGTGAATTCATCTTCCGCCTGCAGTGCAGTTTATTGTGGAACCCCAGCAATACGTAGATGCATACTAGCTGCAGTTTTGTCTAGGGAGCTATATGGAGTAACCGAAACTAAATTAAATATCGATTTCCCCTTATGTGCGTGCAGAACTTTCTCCCGCTTCAACAGCTGGAGGCTCACGAATTCCTGACGTCTATGGTGTCCTTGGTGTAAGGCGGCATTTGCACTAACACCGCTGAGCCTCCCTAACTGATTTCTTGATTTAACATATAGATGAATTGATAAGAAAACCTGCAGCGCTCAGCTAAACAGCTTTCTTGCGTGCTTTTTAGCTTTGTTGGCATGCACAAAACGCATTGTGTTGCACTGCGCCGTAGAAATGCAGAAAAGGAGGGAAATGCAAAGGAAGGGAAAGTATACCCCAGGTAGATGGGTTATCAACTGCGCAGACTGCTTGTGAATTCGGGTATGTGTTCAGGCGCCTGTACAGCGGAGACTTCTGTATGCTGCTTTATACAATCTTTGGGCTGTGCACATTCGGAGGCAGCGCATTGCTCTTTGTGCTGTTGACATTTCTGCTGCTCAAACTCAAAGCCTCCTGTACCGCCACCCTGCTTGCCCACATGGCTTCCGTTTTTGGGCTTTGGGACTCGGAGTAACACTGAGGAAAACTCCCATGCACAGTATAAATGTACACGTGTACATTATGCATATATGCTTTATACATGTGGATATTGAATATGTACATGGTGTGTATTTATATAAAAACGCACGAACATGGGCACTTTTGAAATGCCCGTTTATTCTCTGCTTCCCATTAAGACTCACCCTGCACCTTCTGGTGACGGTGTCGAGCTGGGATGTGGGAGTTGACTCAATTTGGATGTTCTTTCAGGGCCCTTTTACCGTGTACCGAGTAGTGATGCAGTACCAGCAGCAACAGCACTAGATACTGCATGGGGCACTTCAATTTGTTCAGAGGCGACCGTTGATTTGGGGGGGAAGCTCGGGCTTGTGGCTTGCAGCGGTAGGTAGCTCCTACGCAGCCATTGCATGAGCAGAAGTCCTTTGAGGCCTGGAGTCCCACTCAGTGGGCCCATTAGAAGGGGATGACGAGTAAATACGCCGAGTATGTACATGCGATAAATAGGAACAGCGGGAAGGGCTGTACAGCAGGCTTTCTTCCAGACTTGTCCCCTTCGTATGCGCTTGCTACCGTATATACTCCGGAGGCATTGCTGCATGTATTTTGCTTATGTCTCTTCCGACTGCAGGAAGACCATTACTGTGAGCTAGTGTACTCCATTCCCACCTTCGCCCGTACGTTTGATCTTTCAGAAGTTAGGTATCAGTAACAGACCCATGTACATATAGTTCAGATTGGCGTACGTATATGCACCTCCGGGTGTGTGTATGCATAGATATATGTATATAAACCTATATGCACAACTATATACATCTACAGTTATATATGCACATCCATACGTGGGTATTCACGTAGATTTATCCTGTCGCTCTTTGAAGAAGCGTCGAGTTCGGATGCCAGGAGATTTGGCCCTTAAAGGCTATACAGGCATGATAGAGTTCCAGATTGAATATGAAGATCGGGAGCATGCTTATAAACAGTCTCTTGTAAATACCTCTTTGGAGAATGCATGTATGCCACTATATGCACATTGTTGTTGCATGCGTATGGAACATGCTCACATTTAAATAGGCTTACTTCTAAATATGCGGGCGTGCATACACTATAAATGCGCATATAATCCATTTGCATACATGTTATGATTACATACAGGTTCGCCGCTACGCTAGCGACTGAAGCCCTTCGGGGAAAATGTTGGCTTGCCAAACAGAAACACTCTGTAAATAAAAATAATGTATTTAATTCAATTAAATTTGTTTATGACGCCTTCAGACGGAGGAGGCTTAGGGAGGGTAGGACATCTGCCCTTTTCCCCAAATATTTGTTGTCGATTCTCGACAAGAGACGAGATGACCATTACCTCGACTCTGCTGTGTTTTACAGAACTGATCGAACAACTATTTCGTGAGAGCGTTCATTGTTGTGCTGATGCGTTCGTGTTTATAAAAAGAGCACATGAGGCCGTCCCCCTCCTGCACACTGCCTTCCAGAGTTGGCCCGGCCTTTTCTCTGTCAAATGTACTTATTTACTCAAATACCAGAGATCATCGTGCATAGTAGTACTTAATTATACTGAATACGAATATACCTGTTTTATCAAATGTACACATATATGATGCATTCCATGCACACACAGTCAGGCCAAACGTGTGCTAGTATTTCCTATACCCAACAGATAGTGAATTTGCTTCTTCTGCAATGGAGAAGCTCGTTTTTATTTTCCTAACACATTTGCTGCCCTTCACGAAGACCGCTGCTGCTCCTTCATGTAATGGCTGCAGGCGCGGCGAAGGGAATCAACCCAACCCACCGGGGCCTTGGCTGCTGCTGAATTCACTAGCCACTGCAGCACACCACACCGGAATACATATACATATGCAATTACATCTGTTCATTCCTTTGTTTCATTCTGTATGCTCCATCAAGTTGTTCGGTTCGGCCTTCTGTCTTTACGTGCCATCCAGGGTGTTGGTGCTGTTCAACACACGGTTGTTAGTTGTCCTTGGGGTATAATTTTGGTTTTATATATCAAATGGCATATATCCGTTTAACTACTAGTTAGCCAGCATTCACCAGGCAGCGCATTGCTACAGACTGTCACTCGCTCACCTTGGGAATGAGGCCCTTTACGTCGGTCTGCGCCACTATAAACAAAGTCGAGGAGTTCGGGTTATTGGGGCATCGCCGCATTAAATAGCCTACGACAAGACAGTGTTTGAACAAACATTTAATGCAAAACGTTGTGCAACCTAGGAAGTCTACGTAGGGGCTACAATGGGTATAATACGTTTGGCCATAATCCATAAGTAATGGATGATAGTAAGTGTAATTATTGCTCAGAGTCAACTGTTTTGGTCTGATTGTCAGACATCAGTCCTGCGCAGTCGACAAATCTACAGTACACTATTTCCCTACATACAGGAAATCGTTTGGCCATTATAAAAATCATTGAAGCTCTAAGCAATGCCATATCCTTCATGAAAAAATTTCAGTTGCAGCGAATGCTGTTTGCACCTATAATTAACACCTCTATGTGGAGTAAATTAAATATTCCTAATCTGCGAATCAATCATCAATAGCAGATCTGTTTATCAGCCTTGAACTATAAAGATCGCAACGTGCTCATAAATGATTGCACAAAAATTTGCCTACCAGACATTAGGGTCTCCGCGCGCACACATCCTGACTTCTCGGGAACCGATGGATGATCAGCAGACCTGCAGCCACAAGTGCAATGCCTGAAAGCTTCTTCTGGATTGGCGTGAGCAGCCGTGTAGGGGATGGATGTGCGACTATAGGGCAGCGGCAGGAAGGATGACTATGAGCACTATTTCTTTCTTCTGCAGCCCTTGAGGCTGCTGCCGCAACAAGCAAAAGCAGCGGCATCTCTTCAGGAGTTCCAGGCACGTGGGTGCTGCTACCTTAACATCATTTTAACGATGCCCTCTTCCGGGTTGTCAATTGTGCGCCTCCACTGCAAACAAAAGAACGTTCCCCCTGCACTCGCAATGATGAACTGCTTACGAATTTTTATCATTTTAGGGTATTCGTGCATAATTCAGAGAATAGGATTGTACCTGAAGGAAGTCCCTGTTGGATACAGGGAAGGGGGCCTTCATGAGGCAGTAGATCATCTCACACCCATCAACATCGTCCTCTATCACGCGGTAGTCAGCAAACGTCGTGTCCCTAAGTACAAATCAATGACATATATACCCGAATATATGGGAGAAGCAGTAGGTGTCGTAGAGACCCAATATCCGTAGTTTTGTGGCGTATAAACTGACCATTCCAGGCGGCATTTGATATCCTTGATGTGGCGGCTGAGCACATGAAGGGGAATTCCGTCGAACTGTGCGTAAGCCTTGACAACAACAACCGGGGAGTCGGGCGAAATGAATTTGTACACCTGAATTAACTCCTGGTCAACGGTGCGTTCCCAGGAAGGATCCGAGGGATCGTGAGGCTCCTTCTCCTCCAAAAACTGAAACTCGTAAGGAGCTCTGCACACAGCAACAGCACGGAATTCGCCTGTGTTGAGCCCATGCTGTGTCATTGTTTTGCTACACTTGTCTCTTCCTTTCCTACACTGTCTATCGTCAACCGGGGTAATTTCTGTGGGCGTGTGTTCCTTTGCAGCATGGCGCATTTCACGGGCCGAAGGGGTCATCCCACGCGTCATTATGGAGTGTGCTACGTTCTGTTCTATTTTGATGTATTTTGTTCCATCCTGTTGCATATTGCCTCAGGGAAATTCTCATGCTTGGAATGAAGGATGTAAGGTGGCAACCTTACATTGGTGTTTGGTGTTTCAGGGTTATGTCGAAGTTTATCAAGTCCTCGTAGCTCTTAAACAAACGGGCTGCACAAAAAGCACGAACATAATTCAACGATACGATGTGCAATACACAAATGGCAATAAGCAGAAAGAAATATACAATGCAGTGCAGCACAATGCAGTGTTGCTCGACTGAAAACGCGGTTGTGGTGTGCTGACGTTGTTCAGCACAACAAAACACAATACAATGTGGCAGGAAGACTGGATTGCAATGTTGTGTAGCGCATTACCACAGCATAGTACACACACTTCAACAAGACACTTTTGACGGTGCGTCCACATGGTAGATGGGTTACCAGAAGAAATCTAAATAATATGACCCACTTAAGCCAATTTGAAACAGCTGCAGTATTAGTATAAACTAGCTCTGATGATGCATAACTCGCGGATAAAAATTAACTCCCCTAACTAAAGACTGCAAATTTGATTCACACGTGAAATTAAGCGTCCCTCACCTTCGGGTTTAGCGACTGCCACGGCTTGGGAATCCTCTCCTGCAACAACACATGGTCAGTAAAAACGTTTCGGCTGTTTAACTCTAAGGGTTCGGAATTCTCGCTATGGGGTTTCGAGTTTGAGGAAGTATTAAATGCCGCCCGGTGTGTTTGGCTCCCCTTCGCCCTTCCTCGTTGTCGATAATCCTGTTGGTTGACTGGGTGCAGTCCTTTCTTACGAACGTAGTAGTATATACCGCATGACTAGCAACATTAAACAGCGCACGAATGCGTCATTTAGCAAAAAGAGGACATGAATGGCAGCCAGGGCGGTGGCTCAAGACACCACAGATACAGTCATGGTAACAATATACATTCGTCTGCGGATGGCACTGCACGGTTAAGCCTCACCTCCCTTAAGTGAGTGCGTGTGTGTTTCTGATACCAACGTACCTTTGGTCTTGTCTTCTGCCTTTGTCTCTTCCGTCTGTGTTTGTGTCTGGGACTGCATGTGGGTTGGCGTGGGTTGTCGGGAAGCCCTTGATGTACTTCTTGTGTTGCTGATGACAGAAGATGTCTTTCGGCGGTGCGTTTTCACTGCATTTGCAGAAGGAAGAGGAAGAGGGAGCTGCTTTGAAAGAGAGGCAGTAGCGGGAGAACTTGTTCCTTCCAGTGTACACCCTAAAGCCCGTTCCAGGGACACCCCATACGTCAATGCCACGTTGAAATTCTCCACTGGGCGCAACTCTCCCTGAGCATCGCTCCCAGGCAATACAACAAGAACCATCATTTGTAACCACCCACGAAAGCACTGCTTACAAAGTGGTATGTAATACACACGCAGTCATGTCAACGAGATATATAAATAAAGTAATTTTGCTTACGCAAACATAGGAATGATGCGCCATATACACGCACGACACGCATAAATGCACTGGAATGTTGGTGTGCGTCTCTCAACAGAATAAACAACTCAACAAATACACACAGTCTTCTGTCTTAGTCGTACGGACTGCGAAGTGGGGAACAGCTAAGAACACAGAAGAAGCGTGCCTACGTGCATTGCGCAAACCGTGCACTGCGCAAACCCTGTCGTAGCTATCTAAACCCAAGCTGTAAACCGTAACTCAGCCTTCTAAGCTGTAATCCCTAAATCCTGTCGGTGCCCTGCAAGACTTGGAATCTAGACCGTCAATCATTACCTCTTGACCACTTCAACTGCATCTAAGGCCTAAAGCCAAGCGTAGTAGTGTCTACGGGCAGCGGGGTCCCGCTTGCGTTATAAAGTTACTAAGCGTTCTCACTGCAAGCGTTTCCTGCAGGATGTCCGCCTTTTCGTTGACTTCATTTGACACTTCGGATTCAAAATTACTTCCCGAAAATGCATCTGTAAACGAACTTCCCTCGGACGACTCTGCATTCCTTCCCGCTGTGCACTCATTGTGAAGAGCTGCAGCAGCAGCTCCACAACAAAACAACCGGCTTATCGATTTTACACGTGATCTGCAGCCCACTGCATTCACGGCGGTTTCACTTTGTCGTTGCCTGCTGCGTTTTGCTTACAGTGTCTTCAAGCTGCACTGGTGTTGGGTGGACATTGTATCAGGCAGCGTAAAACATTGGATTGTGCTGCGTTAATGACCTGTTCATGACTCATTATTTAAGCTTAAATACAGTAAACGCTCATTGCCACTCACACTGCAGGAGGTCTCCGCCCTTCATGACAAATGTCTGCACCCCTTGGCTGTTGTCAGCATAGAAGAGGCAGCGCTCTGTTTGTTCGTCCTGTAGAGATACATTTCAGCACATTTTGCTTCAAAAAAAGCAAACTAAATTAAAATAGAGGACTATTGTGCAATGGGACGGGAAATGACCGTTGCACTATGAATGCCTGCCCACATAACTGTACCCGGCACTCACGAGTTTCGCCTGTTTAGGGTTTGGCGTCTTGGATTTTTGGAATATTTTCTGAATTTCCGCATCGTGCATCATGCGGATCATCCGCGTCACCACAGGGTGAAGGTTCCGTTTCCTGTCATGTAAAGCAAACATCCAATAAACTGTGCATCCCACTTGTACCAGTTCTCCCCATTGAAACCAAGCGATCTTGCCCCCCAGCAATTACAGTAGTGTGTAATTTAGGAGATGTGAGTCTCTGGCTGTAGGGTCCTTCAATCACTTTACAGCCTCTCGTGGATGTGGAAAGAAAACAAATGAGCTAGGGAGCATCAAGAAGACGCAGTTCAAATTACCTTAAAGTTCCGGCGCACTGTGTGCAAACGTAGCAGACCATTGCACACATGAAGATTTCGCTTCTTGTCATGTGTTCATAGTGCGCTTCAAAGTAGTCGAGGTACAGCCAAAGACAGTGTCCCACATCATCACGGCTCCTGCAGCACATTGCATACATGGCACCCTCGTTAATGGCTTGGCTTTTGATTCTGGTGGAAGCCTGAATTCTCTGCATTTTATGCTTCTCCAAGCCCCCCTTAGCCCATTCACTAGAGCTAAAGTGCTGAACAGGCTATGATTGATGCCTCTACTCACAAGAACGAGTATAGAAGGCGCAGCTGCGCCCGAGCGGTTTTAGATATATCTCCCAAGCGAGCTAGGACCTTTCAAAATACCACACACATGCATGTGCTAGGGCTTGCAGCCTTTACCACGGCAACTGTGGCTTTGGCAGAATTAACGCATGCGGCTCAGATGACGTGGAGTGAGCTGAAGATAACCCTTAGTCAACGTATACAGAAGAAGCAGCAGCATCCTTCTCAGCCCTAACCGTTGACTTAGCCAACAAGCAGGAATTGATTGAAAACTCCCCAGTTTTGCATCGTTGCTGCTGACACTAGTGTGCAGTTTCTGGTGGATTTCACTGCCTGCTCTTTATGTTACCTCATACTCCATGATGACCTTAAATATGAGCTGCAGCTGCGCATTGCTGCTAGCGAAGTGATACCCTGCCCAGCGCATTAAGTGATCAATCTTCTTCTGCAAGCATCAGAAACAAAGGAGCGGTTCAGAACTAGAAATTGGAAAGTAGAAGCTGTCGGGAAGTTATCTTCATGATCGTTGTTGTTGGGATAGCTGCAGCGTTTTGGTGATGCCAAGCGTTCTGCAACCTACCTTTTGTTGTGTTGCTGCAGACGTTTTCTTCCGAAGGCGGCACATGTCATTAGCCATAGCAAATCCAAAGCCAAGGAGACCACCAAGGCATAAACCAAAAAGCATCATTACCGGGCCCCACGGCATCAGCAGTACCAGGAATCCTGCAGGAAGAAGCGCATCATGTACTGCTGGACTCCGTTGTTTAACATCTAGTTGTTTATACAGCTGTAGTAAGGCTTAATTTAATTTGAACGTACCTCCTGCAGTGTTTACTGTCCACTCAGTTGTCGTCGACCGGAATGGAAAGAGGCTCTGAGCCTTCATTGCATATGCCGTTTCAAACTCCTCGCTCTCAGGAATATCTGCGGCTTCTTGGCCAACACGTAGGGCCCAGTACTTCAGGTATCTGCAGAATCAAGGTCCCATTCGCGTTAGATTTGCAGATCAGTCGTCAATGGTGGCATGAACACAGGAGCAGTCGTCAGGGTTACACGTCGCCTGACCAGCCAAAATACGTGAGCCCTTGATGCTCTGATGCCTTATGAAAGACTTAGGAACGTCGACATAGCTTGCTCACTTACCCTTGAGGGACGGTAGGATCCGTCATGGTGTCGGTACCCTTTTTCGAGAGCTGGTGTGCTGGCTTGCCAGCGCGGCTGCAGGTGTTGCTCACGGTGGTGCGGCCACCTGCAGCGCCGCTGTCATGGTAGAATAAGTTGCTTTCATTGGCTGCTGCCACCCGCTCCTGCGAGCCATGGTCCTTTTCGCCGAGGACCGGCAAAGGGTCGTCGGGTGTATGTGTTTCATCTTGGAATGGCTCTCCCGCATGAACAACTATACGACAGGGAGGTGACGGCGAGGAGTTCTCCTCGTTTTGAGTTGCCGTCATTGTTAAATTTAGCCTGAACCGCACGAAGACGTATCAGATGATTAGCCTGAGTCAGTCATAGAAGCCCTGCCAGGAGTGGATGATTGGAGGAGGTCGTTGGTACTGGAACCCGTTGCAGGACAGCAGCCTAACAAGATCCCTTTGCGTAAAAGGACCCTGTCCACTGGGGCTATTTATTCAGCTTCAGGGGCTCATGGCTACTACTCCATCAGTTCGTTCGTCCCAGAACTGGCGGCACCACGGCAGTTTAGCATTATCAAACAGGCGGAAAGTCTGGAAATTCATACCTTCTGCATAAGTTTCAGCCTTAGGTCTGGGGAACTTTAGCTTTAATCTTATGGCGGGGCATCTAATCATGAATTTAAGGAGTAAATCCCCATGTCGCGATACGTCCGCTTCATTCCGGCATGTCGGGGTAAGGGACTGTTGGGAAATAGAAGATGGCAGAGGTACGTGGAGACAGTGACACAGGATCCCTCGATGCTTTCAAAAAGGTATCACACGGATCTGATTGGAATCTTACTACTGTAGAAAAAGCTAACGCTTCCGTGCTGGTGGCGCAAATGCCAGGAGGCGAGGAGGACTAGGGGACAGGAGAGCATGCAGTCCCCGAAGTATTTCTGAAAAACATGACAAACTTGAGTTGCTAATTTCACTGTCGAATATTTCACAATGATTCAATTGGAGGGACTAGAAAGGGGAAAACGAATACTCACATCAGTATCGAAGCAGCAACCACCGGTGCCGTCTCTTCGAGTCAATGACAGCTGTTGTCACACGCGATCTCCACGCAAGTTAACACTACCAATTCATGTTGGAAAATAATTAAATTTTAATTCGGAGTAAATTACTAGATACTGTATGTTCCGAAATGCACGAATTTTTGAGGCTACATACCTTGGGCGTCAAACTACTGGTGCCCCTGCAAACATAAGATTCAATTCCGCCAGACTTCGTCGAGACAAGCAACTAGCAGGAGGCTACTTGAATCTCCTGGATATTTGTACTTCTAAGATAATTAAAAGTGGTGCCTGTCAGTCAAGTTCACCACTTGTTTGAGGCCCAAATATATATGCGCTGCTTTCCGCCGTGGTGTGCCGCAGTTTCACCGTCTCCGACGTTTTGGAAGCAAATGAACAATTTGCTGGCCGTTGTGGTGTTTGAATAGGTCTGGCCTTTCGGTTTAACGCGGGCTCTTCAGGAGAGTATTTCGAAGACCACCTCATTCCACACGAGTATGCACGGCCATCCCACTATATGTTTCTATCTGCCTCTATGTTACTACTGTGCCTAGGTTTCCCAATGTTGCGGAAAACTAGTACCGAGTGCTGGTTTAATCTTAGTTCCGGAAACTCAGCGTACAGTCAGCAATATCTGGAGTTGCTATAGTGCATCTCATTCTGAGTGTGAGCACCGTCCTGAGTGTCTTGTCATATAGTACAAACAATATCAGAATAGGGATGCCACAACTAAGAAAGTCAGTCAAAACAAATTGATCTGATTGGCTTAGCCATATCAAGCAGAAATAGCATGGTGGGGCTGCCAAAAAAATCAGATGCTTGACTGTTCCATAAGCATATCTATGCCGAGCAGAATGTGTGAGGGTAGGCTGATATCGGTTCTTAAGGAAATTTGCCCATTTACCTGTGCGGTAACAAACGCATCATCATCTGCATAGGAACACGCTAGCTCTGAGGCAAGAGCTTTTCAATGGGAGTTTCATGGTAAATATTGTTTTTGTCCTAAGAGAACGCGTGAGGCAACAAATTGCTGGGCTACACTTTTGCACCCGATCTGTTTTCTATGCCCACGCATCCACACAAGCAAACACTGATAGCAGATCAGACACTATCAGTTGTCGAGGTAAATCCTCCTTCAATAAGATCAATACCCACTCAGTCCATCTTGACTGCAAGGGATGTTGAAAAAAACATTGCTGCAGAAACGACGAACCAAAACCTAGAACGCGAGATCCAAGTGTGTCTTAATTTTGCTCATCGAGGAATCGTTGGTGCGTCCATAGATGCCCTGATTTGCAATATTCAAATTGGGACATGGTGTGTGAGGGGTGTTGCGTAACATGCATTACCACTAGGTAGGCCCTCAGCGCCAGTCTTGGATCATTTATGTCGTCAAGCAGCCGAGGCTTAAGAGCAGCGAGAATAGGTTCAGCCTGCAAGCCAAGAGGTAATGAAACACAATGAAGATAAAGGCAACATACGGCATTACTTCTTACAAGATTAATAATATTGGGACCGAGCAACGATATCAGGATATCTCGCAAGGCTGCCCTCAGCATGGCTGGTTGACGGCTGTAGGAAAAAATAAAAACGGAGAGGGCGAGTAGTCCTGTTCCAGGCAGATATATTTTAAGGGCAGGTGAATGCAAGTTTTCATGAGATGGAGTCACTTACTGCAATCTATTAAGCTGTTGCAGTGCAGGAAAGCAAGCAGGCGGCAGCAGGTTTCTCGGTCAAGCAGAAACTCTTGTTGGACAGTGAATAGTTGCTTTGTCAAGTACTCCAGCCCGGCAATGTGAAGAAAGTCCAGAATATCCAGAGCAGTTGCTTGCTGTGAAAGCTACATAAATGACGCATACGAGCTACGCGTGTAGCAAAAGTACAGCGCGTACACTAAACGAAAAGCCCTCCGTTGAACTTAGAGAAGCAAATACGGAGGTTTCCAGCCAGGCCAAGAGTGTTGGGGCGCAGACGTGCTCAAGGTTCATCATCTTCTATATTGGCCGTAATTTAGATGTAATATGGCGAGAAGAATAAATATACGGAACTGACCAGGAAATCTTCGTGATTGGCTTCGTTATTCTGTGACTCAAACTAAAGCGGCAGTACCCCCTAAAAGTCAGTTGCCTCCGTAAAAGATATTTGAGGTTTTCTATACCTACCTGAGCAGTCAGTTTCAAGCAACAACTTGCTAAGATCTGCGGAATATCTTCTTTTGGTATGCTGACTAGTGCATCTTGTACCAGGGAGAAACATCTTTGATCGGAGAAGAGAGCGGCAAGTGCCTCACAAGCCTGCATGGATGTATTAGAAGAAGAAAATACAGAATGCAATCTATAATGAAGTTTACCTTGAAGGCAGCACGCTCCCCATTCTCAAACTGCAACTTTCTTGCAACTAGAAATATCCACGCCTTCACATCTAGGTAGTCACCTCGTGTTAGACCAAGAGCTGTCAGCATAGAATGAGGTACTGCATGGGATGAGGGGGTGTCTTCCCAAGTTGAGCGGAAACTCCGCACGAATCCAGGATCCAGCTCGCCACTCGACATCGCGATCGTGTCGTGATCGTGAATGTATGAATTTTTGTATGTTATATGAAAA